AAAATAAAGACCAACTTTTAAAGAATAAAAAAATACAAGGGATGGAATTGAAAACACTTGTAGAATTAAACCAGATCTGAAAACACATCCTAAACATGGATGGATTTTAAAAAGCTCATGATCTATAAAACTCTAGATCCAGAACTATTAAGAAACTTGCTAAAAGCCAATTTAAAAATATGAATTTTAAGAACTTACCAAAGCAAAAGGAAAAAAGATAACAAAAAAAATCATAATCGAACCTGATAGCCAACTCGGGTCAACAAATCTAACACATGACATATAACATGAAATGAGGTGACTGTATAAATAAAAAAGTGAAAAAAAATATTGATAAACAAATATTTTTTTAAAATGCTTTTATGAAAATAGAGGTCGACTTATGCTAATCCTTCAAATCTGTTAACCGAGTTATGAGATCGGGACGACTTTATTAAAAGCAAAACTGAAAAATAAAAAAGCAAGATTATTAACCAAACAAACATTAAGGGATGGATTTGAGAAAAAATTTAATAAAAAACACAAAATAAAAAACAACAATTAAAAGAATTATGACTAAATTCAATATAAAAATTAAATAAAATTGAATATCTAGAAAAAAACCAAATGAAATTAAATGTATAGAAATAAAATTGTAAGAACATAAATCTACTAAGAAAATAATTAAAAATAGTAATTAAAAGAATTATGACCAGGTTTGGCATGGAGATGAAATGAAAATAAAATTCAATTAAAGATAATTAATATAAAAAAATAGTTGTAAATAAGAGGAAGTTGATTAAATAAATAAAAAAAGATACATGAAAGAGCTATGATTTTTTGCATTGCCAACATGTAATTCGATAAAGAAAAGTAATGAAAAAAAAGGGAAAAAATTAGATCAAACTATGCCGAACTGTCATATATTCACTACCTAGAGAGGAAAAGGACTTCGAGACTAATCAAATGACATGGCATGATTGTAATTATAACTACTAGACGTCACACATATTGCTAGAAAATACGTGTGAGACATGCATTAACAATTTTTTTTGCTTTTTTGTATAAAACCAAAAACTGACCTTGAGACTAAATAATAATAATAAATAAATTATAATAAAATTACAACCAAGCTCCTGAAGCCAGGTCTAAAAAATGGAACAATAAGGAAAATCAACTATTTATATGAAATATGTAAATGCAAAAACATCTTTGTGCAAAAAATTTTAGATTATTTCACTAAAAAGTTACATTAGTAATTTTAATACATGTTAAAATTATCAAAATAACCCTGCACAATTCTCGAAAAATATTTATGATACGGTGAAAAGATACCCCTTTTAAGCAAAAACAAAAAACAAAATAAAAAAATAATATAATAATTGCACTATTTCAATGAATAGTAATATATGTCTTGAGATAATATTGTTAGGGGGACTAGTGTTTTGGATAACGTCAACTAGCAAGTCATTGGATAAATTTAGGGTTTTTTATTTTATTTAAAACAGTGTTTTTAAATTAATATGAGACTCAATTTAAATCAAGCTTTATATTACAAACATGTTATAGATTAATAAGTCAAGTGACTCTGAATGTAATAATTATTATTTAAAGTATCTTTTTATCAACTTGTAAATTAATCATGATTAAATTTATTTCCTCACATTGTACTTAAGAAAATAAATTTTGAAGAGTATGAAATCAACATAAGAGGAGCTCCAACCGAGCAGCTAAACGAGAACTCAAGTGTCCTTTGCCTTTTATTTCTTCAATAAAATAATTAAAAAATAGTAATTAAAAGAATTATGACCAGGTTTGGCATGAAGATGAAATGAAAATAAAATTCAATTAAAAATAATTGATGTAAAAAAAATAGTTGCAAATAAGAGGAAATTAATTAAATAAAAAAAAAGATACATGAAAGAGCTAATGTGATTTTCTGCATTGCCAAAATGTAATTCGATAAAAAAAAAAAAGAAAAAATTATATCAAACTATGTTGAACTGCCATATACTCACTACTTAGAGAGAAAAGGGACACTGAGACTAATCAAATGACATGGCATGATCGTGAAAATAACTATTAGAGTCTATCATACATGCTGCTAGAGGATGATAAAGTAGTTGTCATGTTAACACGTGTGAGACATGCATTAACAATTTTTTTTTTTTGTATAAAACCAAAAATTGACCTTGGGACTAAACAATAATAATAAATAAATTATAATGAAATTATAACCAAGCTCCTGAAGTCAAGTCTAAAAAATGAAACAATAAGGAAAATCAACTATTTATATCAAATATATAAATGCAAAAACATTTTTGTGCAAAAAATTTTAGATTATTTCACTAAAAAGTTACATTAGTAATTTTAATATATGTTAAAATTATCAAAATAACCCTGTATAATTTTTAAAAAATATTTATAATACGGTGAAAAGATACCCCCTCGAAGCAAAAACAAAAAACAAAATAAAAAAATAATATAATAATTATACTATTTTAATAAATAATAATATATGTCTTGAGATAATATTGTCAGGGGGCTAGTGTTTTGGATAACATCAACCACCAAGTCATTGAATAAATTTAAGGTTTTTTATTTTATTTAAAACAATATTTTTAAATTAATTTGAGACTCAATTTAAATCAAGCTTCATATTACAAACATGTTATAAGTTAACAAGTCAAGTGACCCTGAATATAATAATTATTATTTAAAGTATTTTTTTACCAACTTGTAAATTGATCATGATTAAATTTATTTCCTTACATTGTATTTAAAAAAATAAATTTCAAAGAGTATGAAATCAACATAAAAGCAGCTCCAACCGAGCAGCTAAATAAGAAGCCGAACATCCTTTATCTTTTATTTATTTATTGTTTGCATTTCAACGGAAGAGCTAAACAAATAGCCAAAATGATTATTTGTTTACTTAACAACCATTTCTACATTTAACTATAGAAATGATCAAAATGATAACTGTTGGCCAACTACTATTTTTATAGCAGTTGGTCAACAATTTTTTTTTTATTTTAAATATAATTTTTTTTTCTATAAATACATAATGAAAAAACCTGTAGTTTTAACTTTCATATTACTTCATTCATTTTATATTAATTTTATAAATTACTCATATTAATTATATAATTAATAACATCATAATTATATTATATATAAAATATATAAATTAGTTATATAATTATATA